TGAAGAGCTACCAAGTTTGTTCAAATGAATGACCTCAATTATATCCAAGGTCACAGGGGTCAATTGTCTTAAAAAAAAACTTTAAACAGCCTCTTCTCAATAACCAAAATGCCGAGTGTGATGATATTTGGCCATTACCTTCTAGTATGAAGGGCTACCAAGTTTGTTCAAATGAATGACCTTCGCCCGTACTCAAGGTTACTGTGGTCCATACATGTTTAAAATCTTCAAATGATTTTTTTCTGTATAACCGAAAGGTCAAGGGTAATGATATTTTGCTAGAAGCATGCTGGGTTGGAAGACTATCAACTCTGTTCAACATAATGTCCTTGTTCGACATTCAAGGTCACAGGCGTCATATGTTTAAATATTTATGATTTTTTTATGAATCAAACACTGATATTTTGCCTGTAGTTGTATTTAAGGCCACTTTTAAGATTGCAAGTGTGAGATTAAAACCAGGTGAGCGATTCAGGCCCATTAGGCCTCTTGTTTAATAAATCCTTTTCACAAGGAATACAATCAAAATCGTTACGGCGTCAACAAGCCGTGTTCAAAATGGCCTTGTTATTGTTGACCTCTTTACTATGTACCACCTTAGATATTTGACAATTGGGACACACAGCAATTATGTTATATTATTTTCTATACTTGAACTTGTGATGCAGCCTGTATTGATGTCCTATACTATATAATAATCTAAGACAGTTACTTATTCTTCATAGAAGATTAGAGTTGTAGAAAATTTAAAACTTCTTAATAATATTACCTTTGATTACTCCCTTCTCTGTAGAGGGGATAGACTCCTTTGACAAAATGTTTGGACACGAGTTGCACCTTTTGTTAAAAAAAGGAAGACATCAAATGCAAAAACAAGATGTATCGTAAGTAAATTTCAAACCCAAATACACTTAGGAGAAAAATATAGAACTTTAAGATGAGCAGAAAATATGGAACTTATAAGATGAGCAGAAAATATGGAACTTTAAGATGAGCTCTAACTTTACTACTATTTATGACACGACACAGTCTTCCCTACATGTAGTCACTGCTGCGAAAAATGTTTGGACGAATAAACGAGACGGACTGACGAGGAAAACTATATATATATCCCGTTTCGTCGAAGCAAAGGTATGAAAATTAATAAAACTGTTCAGATAGAATTGAAAGGTTTGACTCCACTGAATTAAACCGCAAAAGGTCAAGTATCCTCTTCATAGTACAAGTATTAAACAAATGGCCTTTACAAAAAAAGACTTATGTAAGGACTATAATGTAACTGATCATGATTATATGGTATCGTGTCCACTGCCTGGAATTCAACTGAGCATAGCTTTGATTAGTGTAAAAGTATTTAAAAGTGGTCTTAGCGAATCACTAACTGCCTGTAATTTCTCCAGCACTTTTCTTGCATATCATGCCAAAAGTCAATTGCTACCCGTAAGTATTGGCACATAATACAGTTCGGGTTCCTCTTGAATGGGAGGACTTGAAATCCTTCTCTCTCTTAATTAAGCTGTTCGATGAATTCTGGTCCTTACATTTGAAAGTTTTCTCTCTGACTTTAGTAAATTACATATCAAAAGTTCCTGTGCTCCGAGTCTTTTCTGATCCCGCCAATTATTCTACAAAGTTGGACATTCAAACTTATTTCCAAATTGTTGAGCTCAGTCTTTTCTTTCAACTTCTTCCAATGCTTTAATTCTTCTCAAAGATTGTTTAGCACAACACTGAACCATGGTTAGTATGAGATAAGTATTCAAGAAGAAACTTGACTCGTGAGAAATTCTTGTGTATGAACTGAAACAGGACTGTTACGTTATATATATATATAATTTACTCGGCCATCGTCGAAGAGACCATGTGCAGTTTCGAAAAATTTCAACTCTGCCTTGTCGTAAAGATTCACCGTTCAACATTACTAAAATACCATTGCATAAGAGTTAAGCAGTTTCTAAAGAAATAAAACCATCAGAGATCAGTCGTTCTGTGTAAAAGGCATTCTTATTAAGGGAAAAAACTTGATATAAACATTTCAATTAGTGATGTTTTCATTTTTGCGGCTATGATACCATAAGAGATTGAAACAATAAACTCGAAAATTCTTAGTAAAAACACTTTCATATTCGTGTCACATCAACATAAACTTTAAAGTTTCTTAAAATTTTCTAATGCTAAAACAGATAAACCTGCAATATTTTTTTGGCTTTGAAATCATCATAATATATCAAAATATAATTTTAAAGTAATTTTATTTTTGCTTTTTGGTGAGCTTATGACATACTGCAGCGTCGGTCGTCCGTCTTCATGTTTGCTTTTCAAAATGATTCAGATTACATACGGGAAAGCTTGTTCTGTATTTCCTGTAACCTACGTGCCTGCTGCCTTATAACGTTTAACACGGAGTCAAAATACATGCTCTTTGACTATTGTCAGGAGCACTGCGTCCATTATTTGAGTGCCTTCTAAGTAGCTGGTCTCCATTGCAAATAGTTTCTGTGTTCATTTGTTCTACTTGTTTCCTACAGTTAATTAGGCCGTGATTAGGCAATGTGATTCCTTTAATTATACCCTGCCAATCAGGGTTGAAAATCAATGTTAAGTCAGAAATCCCATCCCTTATTTGTATGTGCATTTGCGTGAATGCAATAGCTACACAGATGTACAGGTTTTAGTTATTGTTTTTCATTTTCTTTTCTTTTATATATGCCAGGTTGACGGTTTGGGTGATTAGTAAAACAAAAGCGACCGTTTAACATATACAAATGTAGGTTCGATTATAAGTTATGGCAATTGGAATATAATGTATTGTATTCAGTTCCATATTTCTAACCATAGTAAATGGCAATTTTGTCACCGGGATTTATAGAATTTTATACTGTAATAAATAGCTTGTAAACATTTAAGAATCTTAAACACAGCAGTTACTCATATAGAAGGTATCGGGTCAATGAGTAACAATTTCTCACTTTAGGAGGAAGCAGTGGGGAACCCGACATTCCAAACCCTTAGTATAAAAGGAAACAGCTAGAGAGATAGTAAGTATCATAATATGTATTAATTCGTATTCTGAATGCGTCTATACCGGTCAGCGTTCCCATATGAATTAGTCACTTAAGAAATAAAATATCCTTGTAAAGGGTGATGGCACTCACTAGATTATTTAAGGGGAAATATGACTATTTTTTTGTAGATGATCTTCTTATGAAGTTTCACAACTACTTTAAGTCAATTGAAAAAGAAACAAGACTCTGCACGATGTCTCCCAGCATTATGGCGGATATGGAGGGTTTTGGATGCCGAACTAGATATGGACATCTGATCAAGCCTAGATCAACTGTGGATATACAACAATACTACCCAATACCATGAATATATTATTGCAATGTCTTCGGTGTCAAATGTAAGTGCCGGACAAGATTAGTTTTGGTTGTATAGGGTATTAACAGCTAAGGTCATTTAAGCATCTCCATGTGTGTTGTGTTGCATGGGTGTGTGCCGGAGTTATTGGCTTTCGGCCAATGAGCGGATCTGATGAACATTATGCAGGGCAATAACTACCGTTTTGAAGGCTTTTGGAATGTCCCAGCCTGGGGACGAAACACGTTGCCTTCCCAACCTGGACGAAAGTTCAACATTAAAGCCAAAAAGGAGGTGTTGCCAAGCAAATTACCCAACAGGAAAATAGCTTTTACTGGGTTTGCGCCTTTGGCATGGAGAGGTAGCACTGTAATGTTATGATCAGATTCGCACTATACTGCAATAGCGCCTTCAGCGCACATCGAAACCGTCAATATCATAGTCATGCTACTACAATAGAAGGAGTATAGATAGGTGTTTAAAATATAACATATATTTAAACAGATGAGATCATGTGGTATCGGATTTAATGATTTAAATCACATGACATCATTTATTTTTGAATGGATTTAAAGAGGATCACGTGATATTGCATTTAATCACATTCACCTGTTGGCAACCGCTTATGACGCCCTGTTATTAATCACTGTCCTGTCAACAAGAACAAGTACATATCGTAACAATACCCATGTATGTACCGAAGTCGCTGACCCAACCAAGCTTGTATACGATGTACACGGATATAACTTACCCGTATACATCTAACAACAGTTACCGAGAGTTGCTTTCAAAACAAAAAAACAGTTAATAATGAGTAAACCTCGGGATAATTAAGGTGTGGTTTTTTGACAGATGAATGTACAATTAGTCGACTAGAACCTGTTTGTCAACAGTAACGTAAAAGTTCCTTTCAAAACAAAAATACAATTCAAAGATACAAAAATAACAATGACTGGACTCTTCTTAAGTACACATAAACTAGTTTGTTTTTAATCTTTAGATCGAGGGATTATTTCACCTCTGAACTTGAACTAACAAGGATATATACATGAACTTATATTTAGGGTGATCATTTAAAGCATCATATTTGATTTTACATAGTCAGACAAGGTTTACTATACATAGAGCGGTTCTTTTCGTCATCAAGTATGGAAAGCGGTTTCGATTCGGATTCCTAAGTGAAATTCAGAAGATGGAGGATGGAGAAAGGATAAAACAATTGCTAAAGAAGAAGACATCCGCGCAGCACGTGGGTCTGCCATGAAAAGGAGAGAAGTGTCCATCAAACAAGAGGCCCATGGGCCTTAACGGTCACCTGAGTCCTACAGTATTTATTTTTGTTGTTGAAATATGTACCAATTTGAGTAAAAAATAGTTAAGTAAAATGTTAACTTAACTTTGTCAGGACCATGAGCTGATCATTCCTAGACCAATTTTAAGTGAGATGGGCCTATTAGAACTTGTTTTTAAGTTTGAAATAGTATTTACAAAATGGCGGCCATGGTGGCCATATTGGATTTCTGATTGACCTGAAAAATAAGGACACTTTGTCAGGACCATGAGGCGATCATTCCTACCAACCCACAGTTCAATCTGACCAGCAGAACTTGACTTTAAGTTTGAAATAGGTTTTCAAAATGGCGGCCATATAGGAGAGTTCGCAGTGACGTCACCAATAGGTCACGTGATATATTGGTTGGCAAAAAATGGTTGGCTTGGGCCGTTCGCCATTTACAACTACTCCGTAATATCCATAATAGCAATGGTTGTATTGTGTTGTGTGATCGGCTGTACCAATAGGTTCGACAAGAAAGATCCAAAGAGCTTCTACCGTATTCCAAAGAAACCCGTATCACGCAGAAAGCTTTGGATTTCCGCAATAAAACGTGACAATTGGGAGCCTACTGACAACGATCGTGTTTGCTTTCGTCACTTCATAACTGGTAAGACATTTTTTTATACAATTAATGTTTTGCTTTTTGTCGGGTTTTTAATTTATCAAGTATCCACATTTATTTCGAAAATGTCGTTTATTGTGTTTTACATGCACCGTATGCACGGATAACTGGGGTCTTTTAAAATGATACCCGGTACAGTAGCCCCTGTAGTCAGGTCCAGTACACTCTGCCGATTGAGCTATATACACTGATACACACCTATACATTATAGCTGTATTGAGCTATATTTTCTCAGATTTCAAATTTCATTAAATTAAAGCAAAGTCGCATAAGCAATAAGGTTTATGGTAATGTTGACTACAAAGATCATACAGTTAGATGTTTATTTTCATTTTCTATAAATGTAAAATTCCGATTTTTTACATCATTATTTTTTAAAAAGAATACTTATATTTAAAGTCTTTTGTTATCAACCTAATGATACAATCTTTTTTTTAAAAGCGACTTTGTTTCGTTTTCATTAAAAAAGAAAATCACTTGAAAATAGCTCAAAAGACCTATTTTAGATCAGTCATTAAAGCTATTATAGGTTTTTACAGCTATATTATAGCTCAGTTGGCAGAGTGTACTGGACCTGGAAGTTACTCGCCCAAAAGAAGTTTCCATTTTGCTGAGAGAGAAAAATATTGTCTGGGCTTTTACCTTTGTTATTCAAAACGTGTTTGTTATTAAATAAAAAAATCATTCCAGGTACCAAAAGCCATGACGACACTAGTCCAGACTTCACACCATCAGTCCATATGGGATATCAGGAAAGTAGCTCAAAAGGTGAGCTGCGCTTTGCTCGTTACCAGAGACAAGGGCAGAGAGAACATCAAAAGCAGAAGACAGCTGCAGCATCAGCACTTTTAGACCTTTCTAACATTGAGAACTTCAATATATCCCCGTCTACACTGACGCCAGAAGGTTTGTTTGTTATTGAGTATAGTCGATTGTCTTTTTTTCTCTCCAAGAATGAATGTAGAATATTTGCAAGAAAATGAAGCACTATTATCCCCACTTACTTGTATCTAAATGTGAACTTCGGTTTCATTTATCCTTGGTCATTTTGATGATAACCCCAAAGAAATAAATACTGGTAATGTCAAAATTTTCATCACACACTATCTGAATTACCTAATGAAATTAACATTGTTGGAGAATACTTTAATCTAATTAATATGGCTTAAAAGAGGTATTTTTTTTACTCCTGTGATCTTTTTGTACACAACTGGTCTTTAGTTTGTCTTATTGATTGCAGTATTCAATATTTGCTTCACACTGACTAGCTTTATAATTTATAAATATTGGTTATCTTCTTTTCAGTTGGGCCAGATCCTGAGATAAACCGGCATGACAACTGTATTAAAAAGATTGCAGCCTTGACGCTTGAAAACCAGCAACTTTATACAGAACTTGGCAGACTTCAAGCTGACAATACTCGACTAGCAGCAGAACTGAAAGAAATTGGAAGTTTTGAACAGCAAGTCACCTCGACTGATCGCAAATTACTTTTTACACTGGTTTGCAATCAACAGCTCTTTTCATGTGGCTATTGTCATTCTGCTCGTGTGCGTTGCCTGCATGTAAAGTTATGTCGCCCGGTAGTATTTTGCTCTGCCTTCTAATGAGACTTCGACTCAACTTGCATCATCAAGATTTAGCGTATCGTTTCAGCGTGTCAAAAACAACTATTTCAGACATTCTCAACCAAGGTCTTCCAAAGTTAGCAGAGAAATTAGCGTTCCTGATTCAATGGCCTGGAAAAGACTGTTTACTTAGCAACATGCCAACCATATTTAAACAATCATATCCTAAATGTATAAGTATCATAGACTGTTTTGAAGTGTTTATACAACGACCTGGTCAATTAACTGCCAGAGCACAAACTTGGTCAAACTATAAACACAACAACACTATTAAGTTTCTCGTGTCAATAACCCCAACTGGTGCTATTTCTTATGTGTCGAAAGCATTTGGTGGTAGGACATCGGACAAAGTCATAACCCAACGCAGTGGTTACCTTGACAAACTTCAACATGGGGATCAAGTTTTGGCGGACCGTGGTTTTCTGATTTCAGAGGAGTTAGCAAATCATGGTGCAACACTGGTTATTCCAGCATTCACAAGGGGGAAATCCCAACTTAGTGCCAAAGAGGTTGAACTGACACGCAAAATTGCACATGTTCGTATACATGTTGAGAGGGCCATTGAACGTTTGAAGAACTTTAGAATTCTCAGTACTAACATGAGTATGTGTATGGTACCTCATGCAGACAGTATAGTGACAATTTGTTCTGGAATTGCAAATTTGCAGCCAAAGTTAGTGGCTTGAGATGTGGACATGTATGTTGGTTTTAGTTTCCGATACATCAATCAATTGCCCACTTGTTCTTTGTGAATTATGTAAAATGTAGTTTATTGACTTTTTCTTTGTATTCCTTGCTATTTATCTCAGAAAGATATGCATTCTCTTTAATATGTGGTACAAATAAATTTACTAAGACATATTCTGCATTGTTTCAGACTACATGGTAATCTCCATGTGACCCTTTTATTCACTACACATCAATATTGTATCTATGAGCAAATATTTCTTTGTTTTAACAATAACGTGTGAACAATTATTTGTTTCATTTTTTTGAACTCTACATGTATGTTACAAACATACAACAGTTAACACAAAAGAATACTTTGTACTGGCAAGTAGATACATCTAACAGAAATGGAATAACTTAATTATTATTTATGTTTATTGTTATGAGAAAATATAAATTAAAAATACAACCATATCATGGGAGATAATAAAAAGCTGGTGCTTCTTTCTTGGCACTACACATCTATGCATAGATATGTTCACAATGCAATGAATACAATTATTTAATACTTGGTTTTTAAACATGTAATGTCTCTGAATTATGTGATTAAACTACAAACTAAAGTTACAGTCCAAGTCTTTGTGTTTTTTTCACATGCTGAAAATCTACGGTTCACAACTAGTACAAAACCACTGTCCTCGAGGTTTACGACGAATGTTAACACACCGATAGTGGAACCACTCGTAGGGACACTCATTATCATCACATTTTATCATGCGGCCATACTCTGGTTCGCTGCAAATGCACCAAGTTGCAGTTTGGGCATCATCCTTGCTCATAACTTTGTTGTTTTTGTTCTGGACAGGTTCATTTTCAAAGTGCCTTGTTATAAGTTCCCTAATAACAAATGTCTTAACGAAGTCTTCACATGTTTCTATCAAAGTACTGATGAAGTCATCATCTGCCAGAACACGAACGATGACCATACTGGCTGCCGGCTGGCACTTGGTGTAGACGACAAAGTCAGTGTAGTGGCAATTGGTGACAAACATCTGCATCTGAATCTGAGTGAAGTACCTATGTTTTTTCTTCAATTTCAGTGTGGCATCTAGGCAGAAGTCCTTGTCCTTGATAGCAGCTTCTTGCACAGTTATATCCCGATGTTTGTAAGGACACTTTATCTCTACTGTTCCTTTACCACAGCACTGGCAGCTGACGATGCCGTCGGGGCTGGCACCAAGGAATGGGTGTGCTGGTTTTACAACAAAACCAGAGTCCTCACATGTGAAGCTTGCATGGCCCTTCTGTTGGTGATGTTGGTATGCACGCCTACATTCTTCCTCGTGGTCAATACCCCACTTCACTGCTTCCTTCTTCGACAGGTCATATGTTGCATAACCTGCTATTCTTTTAACAAGATTGTCTGGTTTTGTTGTTGACTTCCGTGTCAAAACATCATGCGCCTTAGAACCGGTGACTCTGCCCATTCTGTGTTGGAACCATAGGGGACTAACGGACTGGTCTCTAGTGGCTGTTTCCAAATTGGCTGCTTGGGATGGAGTGATGTTATACGCTGTGTATGTATTTGAGCATATGACGTTGATATCATCTGGGTTGTAATGTGGTTGTTGTAGGGTGGACAACAGTTGAGGGTACTTGTCCTGGGTGGGGCTGTTCTGTGGTTGGTTATTGATAGATGGTTTAATTGATGTGAAAAATGATGCCTCTGGGACAATGGCAAACAGTTGGTCAAGGAGTTGTTTTGATGGCAGGGTAGCTGATCCACTGGCCTGGACTGACTGGACTTCTTTAGTTCTTTTCCCCTTTATGCTCTGGAATATGTCGGTGACAGTTGTGGGTGTAACCTGAAAAAAGTTAAAACAAATTATAACATTTGATGAAAACCTACATTTTTAAAGATATGAATCATCAGACAATTGAATTAATTATGAGATAACTAATTATTTTACATGAAAATTGAAAAATATTCCATTAATGTCTGTGGGTTGATATCTTTGAGGTGTCTGTTTCGAATGTCAATTAATTTTTATGGAAATTTGATGTAAAACTAATTTTAAAGTAATTCTAGTAGTATGCTGTCTTAATGACTTAACTAATTTATTTATTCGTAACATGTATACAAAGCTTTGTATTAACTGTAATCATACCTCTCGACGGAATGTGTTATTCCACTGACACACCTTGCTGGTGGAGCTTGTTTGCGTAAGACCCATCTTTACTGCCATTTCAACTTTAAATAGGAGGGCACCCACATGACTGCATACCTCGCCCAAGCTGTAAAATGAAGAAAATAAATTATCAAGCTGTCCATCAATTATACAGAAATAAAGACACAATATAGATTTCACATTAGAGAAGGAACTCTGGGTCTTGCCTTGTTAAGACTTAATTGACCTATGAGTGAATTTATTGGTATGGTGTTGCCTCCATTGCATTTCTTCTTTGGTAGTGTATGTACCATACAAATAAAATCTATTAACAAATTTTGAATATTGTACGAGTGCTTTAAGCATTAGACTCAACTGATGTCTGTTATCTATACGATACTCATACAATTTATTATTCCCCATTTGGACTCAAGAAAAAAAGTGTTGTCTTTTGAAGTTGGAACACAGTGGTGATAAATTAAGAAAAGACTCAAATTCGTAACTAGGAAATTTAACATACCCTGCCATACAAGTACAGTGAGCACAGTACACTGTTCCAGTGTTCTTCCATGGCTGATGTGGTTTATCTCTTGCTCTCTGGGATGGTGTAACTTTCGCCTTCAATGCGATGAAGGGACAATTATCCAACACTTGGTGTGAGGAAATCTCCTGCACATGTCCACTAACTACATACCTGCAATTAAAAAACATTTTTGTTTAAAACATTGTACTTATGGGGGGTAGGGGGGGGGGGGGGGGAAAA